GGACAATCTGAGCAACACAAGACAGTAATGGCTTGCTATCTTTATTTACCATGTAAATAATTCATGATAAAAATAAATGATTGAATACGTGAATGGGGGAGAAAGCTGACTCCCAAATGTAGCAGGAATAATGGGACTAGAGAGCTTCCATTTGGCAACCAGCTTATTAATAATTGATTCGGGGAAGAATCAACAGCGGATGCTCCAACTCCTGGTGAAAGGTCAAAGGAAGCCGGCTATTTACTTAGCCTCGACTATCTGCTCTCAAAGCACTTGCTAATTATTACTTGGTAATTAGTAAGTTCAAAATACTAATTAATTAACTGCACCATGGAGGAACCTGGCAGACATCACCTTCAGCCAAGTGGCAAATATTAGTATCACCAGAGAGGGATGAACAGACACCCTGGGCCTCCTGACATGCCGCGGCAGAGGCATGCAGCATCACTTCTGAGCAAGGAAAGGGACCCGAAGCGACAGAGAGACAGACAGTTTGAACTCAGGGGTGTTTCACATCATCTGCCTGTACTCCGCAAAAATGAAACACAGAGGAGAAAAACCTCAACAGTAAATTTACCAAGCTGCGCATGATGGCACATTCCTGACATCCCAGCACTCAGGAAGTAGAGTTCCGAGGATCACAAGGTTTCGCCTCAGCTACATGGTGAGGTCAAGGCTAGACTGGGCTACTTGAGACCCATCTTCAAAAAGTAAGGGGGTTGCCCTGTTTTTGTTTTTGTTTTTGTTTTTTTCAGGGCTGAGGACCAAGCTCCTTTGGGGTTTTAGGCATTCTTAGGAAGTGCTCTAGCACTGAGATACAACCCTTGCCCTAAACTTAATGATGTTTCAGTGGTGATGTTTAGAAGTGACCCTCCGGCCAGGAGTTCGTTGCTCACACCTTTAATCCCAGCACTGGGGAGGCAGAGGCAGGCAGATCTCTGTGAGTTTGAAGCCAGCCTGGTCTACAATAGCTAGTTCCAGGACAGGCACCAAAACAATACAGACAAACCCTGTCTCGAAAAACAAACAAACATACAAAAAAGTGACCCTCTGAGTTACCTTGGCAGCTTTATCAAATGACTGCCACCTCCAGAGGTCCAGCTCTAAACCTTTGTGGTCTTAAGGAAGAGGCTGACAAGCCCAGGAACCCCACTGTGGCAACTGTGAGACCTTGAGTGAGCTCCTGGCTTCCGGCCTTCACATCTGCTAGACATCTTCGCCAAGCCGGCCTTCCTCCCCGAATTCCAAGCTGCTGATTCAACTCTCAGACCAAACTGTGGAACAGAATCTTCACAGGCCCACGTCTCACAGGAAGACTGAGTTCTAAGTTGAAGGGCACCGCAGAAACATGACGATAGCCTTGAAAGACTAGACTGTGTTCTTGACTTACTAGAGGCTTCGGCGGGGTGATTGGTGAAGCAGGAGATACTCTGGCGGTCTCAGCTGCATCAAGGTCCTGATTGGATGGCTACGCTGCTGCCTCAGTGTGGGGGCTGGCCAGGAGACGGCAGGCAACTGTGTGCAACAAACTCCCAAATGGTTCAAAAATAGAATAAGACAGTGTGGGAAATGGCTGACACTTCAGGGATCAGGGCGAGGAGGATATAGATGCTTTTTTGCACTAGTCTAACAACTTTTCTATAAGCTGGAAATTATTCAGAAGTAAAAGCTAAACACACACACAAAAACAAAACAAAACAAAACAAAAAACCACAAAGAGCTGAATCTGCTGAATCTGGGGGATGGGTCTATAATCCCAATTACTACAAGAGGCCTAGGCAGGCACTTTAACAGTCCCAGGCCTTTTGGACCTCTTAGTGAGTCCCTGTGTCAAGACAGAAAGTGGAAGAAGGCCTGGTGTGATGGTATGGTGGTTAGAGCCACCGAAGTCACAGGTTAGAGTCAGTGGGAGGCAAGCCACCAGCCACACCCACAGGGCTGTCTTGACTATGTTAACTGGGGCAGAAGGACCCAGCAGAGGAGGCAAACACCATTCCCTGGGCTTGGGCACTGGGCAGCTTCCTTCCTCCAGATCCTTCCCCACCATGGTGGACTGCGCCCCTGAACTGTCCCCTTAAGTTTCTCTGACAGACATTTTATCCCAACAATGAACAAGTAAGATGTCTGGGGATGTAATTCAGTGGTGAAATGCTTGGGAGAGCGTGTGACGCTCTGGGTTCAGGGCCCAGAACCACAAGCCCTCTTCATTTATTAAGAATGAGGCTGGGGCCGGGCATTGGTGGTGCACGCCTTTAATCCCAGTGCTCGGGAGGCAGAGGCAGAGGATCTCTGTGAGTTCGAGACCAGCCTGGTCTACAAGAGCTAGTTCCAGGACAGCCTCCAAAGCCACAGAGAAACCCTGTCTCAAAAAACAAAAAAAACAAAAAACGAGAAAAAAAAAAAAAAGAATGAGGCTGGGAAGATGGTTCAGCAGTTAAGAGCGCTCACTGCTCTCCGTGAAGATCTGGGTTCAGTTCCCAACACAGCTCACAACTGGCTCTAACTACAATTCTAGGGGAATCTGATGCCCTCTTCTGGCCTCTGTGGGCATTGCACACATGTGGCAAACAGTGAGACGTAACACAGATACACATAAGTAAAATAAAAATAAGTCACCAATACAATGGTTAAAAAAAGAAAACTGTATAGAAAATGAGCACACAGCCTGGCATTGGTGGCACACGCCTTTAATTCCAGCACTGGGAGGCAGAGGCAGGGGGATCTCTTTGAGCTCCAGGCCAGCCTGGTCTACAGAGTGAGTTTCAGGAAGAAAACGAACACACAGGTGTTAGAGGTGACGCTGATGGCACACGAGCAGATGTAGAGACTTCTGCTCTTCATTTGTCAGGGAAATGCACATTAAAACCGCTAGAAGACATGGGTATATCCCATCAGAACGGCCAAAATAAAAAATGGTCACAAAAGCATATGCGGGTGAGGATGTGAGAAACAGAATTAGTCACTCATGGCTGCAGGAACACAAAATGACACAACTTTGGAAAACAGCTTAGCAGTTTCCTTGGAAACAAACATACGATGAAATCACCACACAACCGCATTCATGGCAATTTATCCCAGAGACATAAAGATTTGTGTTCACACAGCATCCTTCAGGGAAGTTCACACAGCAGGGGATGGAGAGACAGCTCCGTGGTCAAGAGCCCACATGCGCTTCCAGACTCTTCCAGAATCTCAGCACCCGGCAGCTCACAGCTCCAGGCCCAGGTGCACGCCAGGGCCCAGCATGCATTACACTGTACCCACAGATATACAACAATTTTGCCATTTTGTTTTGTGTTTTTGAGAAAGGGTATCTCTATTATGTAGCCCTGTCTGTCCTGGAACGCTCTATGTAGATCAGGCTGGTATCAAACTCACAGAGCTCAGCCTGACTCTGCTTCTTGAGTGCTGGGGCTAAAGAACTGTGCCACCACCATGCCATGCCAATCATTCTTAAAATAAAGCTTTGCCAGGAGTGGTGGGGCACACCTTTAATCCCAGAACTCCAGAGGCAGAGGCAGGAGGATCTGTCTGTGAGTTTAAGGCCAGCCTGGTCTACAGAGTGAGTTCTAGGACAGGCTCCTAAACTGTCCTAGAGAAACCCTGTCTCCAAACCCCTCCCATTCCCCCTGCAAAATAAATAAATAAATAAATAAATAAATAAAATTCACACAGGAGTTTTGCCCCTTGCTTTAGTTACTTTACTGATGCTGTGGAAAATAAATAAGCAAATAAATAAAAAAGAAAACACACGACCAAGGCCACTTATAAAAGGAAGGATTTATTTGGGTCTACAGTTCCATGGTAAGAGTCTATCACCATGGCTGGGCGTTGGTCTCGCAGGCCTTTAATCCCAGCACTCCGGAGGCAGAGGCAGGTGGATCTCTGTGAGTTTGATACCAGCTTGGTCTACATAGGGAGCTCCAAGCCAGCCAGGGCTATAACCCTGACTTAGGGAGAGAATACTAAGTTCTGTGTTATACAAGGCTGTGGATACAATATCCTTAAAATGACACTATTATGGACGTGCAGAGAGGATCACAGCAGCTGGGTCTGAGGGAGGAGGGAGGAGCTTGTGTCTGTTAAGGGCAGTCTAGGACTTCGCAGCATCGGGAGTGGCCTGAGTTGTGGCTCTACCCACATCAGTGCTGGGCTTGGTGGGGAAACCAAGTCAAGGGCGTTCAGGTCTCTTGGTTCTGTTTCAGATAACAGCATGTACATCTACAATTACTTCAAAGTAAGTATCTTACTAAAAAAGAAAAATCCTCGCAAATTTGTGGGTGTGCACATATATAAAATATATATTACTTGTGTATGATTTTATATAATTGCTAAACACACAGTACTATATTTATTATACATGTTGCACACACTTTAAAATCTGTAAGTGATAAATAAATGACCAGCTCTTTTGGGTCCCCCCAAGCCTCTCAATCGGTGGCCAGGATTCTGAAGTCAGCCCATTTCCACGCTGATTTACGAGTGCACACCAGTCCAAGATCCAGGGAGTCCCCGGGTCTGCAGAGCACAGCAATGAACCCTCCAGATCTCGACTCCCAGCAGGCCATGGACCACTGTGGTCTCTTTCCTGTCATGGGGGAATGGCCAGGGCAGACACTTTGGCCAGGGCCAAAGTAGGACCCCTGCCTTTGTGCTACTCACAGACAAGGGAAACGACATAGATGTTTCTCAAAAGAGGTCCCCAGGAGCCTGCATCCAAGTCACTCAGAATAGAGCACACTCTGTGAGTCCCCTGGGTCCCACCCAAGGCAAGACCCAAACCTCCTAGCCACGGATCTGAATGCTAAACCCACCTGTAGGTAGCTACACAGAATCTTTGTCCCTGGGATCAAGGCAGGGGTGGAAAACATTTCCTGACAGCAGCAGTTTGAAAACAAATGCTGGCCGCCCATTTTTGATGCTCCCCATTCCAGCCTCTTAGGATGAAGGCCAATGTCCCTTCCCCTTGAATGAAGCTGACCTTGGTGGCTTTTGGAGGAATGGTCAACGAAAGCTCTGCAGGTTTAGCCCAGCCGGTGGGTTCACGAGTCCTTGACCAGAGCCCAGTGAAGGCATCCTGCCACGAGGAAGTCTATGCTCAGGTCCGCACTGATACGGTACTAACAGAAGAGGTTTCTAGATGGTTCCAGCCCTGAGTCACCTGCAGTGGTTGAACCATACACTGTGAGTTTAGGATTGGCTATTTATTATTCAGCATAAGATATGAAGAATGCTGCAAGCAGGATGCCCCAGGCTCCTGACCTCAGGAACCTGCCTCTATGTGCTGCTTTTCCTCTGACCTACAAGCCAGCCCAGTTCCTTCCCTGGGAACCGCAGGAATCCTGACCATTGGGCTGGCCACAAAGCACTGAGGATATCCAAGTGGAAGGGACCCAAGGACAGGACAGAAAGGAAGTGGCTGTGGTTGGGAATCAGCAAGTTCTCAGCATGTAGGTGCGGCTGAGACACTAAACCCCAAAGAGCAACCATCTAGAATGAGAATTCAGAGAGGGAACAGGGCGGAGTAGATGACCATTTCAGAGGTTTGCAGAGAAAAGAAGCCACTAAGATCAGAGAGAAAGAGAGAGGCAGAGGTGCTGGTGTTGAACATGTACCCCAAATCCATGTTGCAATTTTAATTCCTAAAGTCATCTGAAGATAATATTTTGGAGGTCATTAGGTTTAGACGAGGGTCACGGAGGTGACAAAAGACCCAAGGTGGCATCTCTGTTCTGTCTTGCCACTCAATGCCCTTACCATGCTAGGATACCAGACTGCGCTCACAGATTTCCCAGCTCCTGCACCAGGTGCTAAGTACACTTTATAATTACCCAGCCTGAGATGTTTTGTTATAGCAACAGAAATCAGACTGATGGAGACAACATCAGTGAAGAAATTAGATTGACAGGAACAATGCCTGTGAAGAAAAGGTATAGAAACTGACAAGGAGGTGCTTGGTGTGTGGGTGTGTGTGGGTGTGTGTGTGTGTGTGTGTGTGTGTGTGTGGTGGGGGAGTGCTGAGGCCTTACAGGTCAACTTTGGGGACTTTTGTCAGAGTATGTAGAGATAGCAGACTTCGGCATGTGGGGTGGGGCTGGGGCAATTCAGTCAGAGAGCACTTGCCTACCATGCTTGAAGCTGCTTCCCCGGCACACGTGGGTGGCACAGAGCAGCTCTGGTGGCCCTGTGTGGCCTCAGACACACGCCCACCCAAGCCGCCGCTTCCTTGTCCATGTCAAGATAAGTGCGGGAATTGAAAGCCAGCATTTAGCATTTTTATAGCAGGCTGACAGTGCGCGAGATGCTTGTTGGACCTAATAATAAAAAATTAGGGCCTGCATTTTGGATGTCTTGGGGGATTTTTCTCTCTCTCTCTTATTTTCTTCTAGTAATACTTTTTATTTTATTTTACAAGAGTATTTGTCTGCAATGGATTGGGAACAAAACAAAACAAAACAGAAGCCAAGCGTGGTCTATTCTTTCCAGATGCTCTCATGAGGGAGGAGCAGGAAGTCTGGGGCACTGACTGGAACAGGGTTTGGCGTGGAGGGAGATGTTTGAGTTCGATGGCCCACTGTCACTTATGGCGATGATATTTATCCTAAGGAATGAGAAATTTAAACATGCTTATATAAGATGAGAGAAAAATGGTTGGGGAAAAAGATGTCAGGCAGCGGAGAAAGAAATAACTGATGGAGTAAATCACCTCCTAAGCTGGGCCACAGAATCAACAACAACAACAAAAATAAAAAAGACGAGAGATATACACCACTGTGCACACCTGCACGTCCACGCCGTGTACACTACGAATAACAGTAAGAGATCTAAACAACAGGGCAGACTTACAAGGTTTGGGGGAGTTTGTTTGTTTGCTGCTTGTTTTGACTTTCAGTGTTGCGGAATGAACTGAGGACCTTGTGCGTGCTAGGCAAGTGCTCTGCCGATGAGCTACACAGCCCCAGCCTCAGACTTATCATTTGTTCTTGTTGTTTGTTTCCAGACTTGGTCTCACTACACAGCTCTGGCTGTCCTGGAGCTACAGTGTAGATGAGCCCAGCCTTAAATTCACAGAGATCTGCCTGTCTCCAAAGAGCTGGGATTAAAGGCATGTGCCACTATTCCCTGCTTTGGACTTGCAAATTTATTTATTTATTTATTTATTTATTTATTTATTTATTTGGTTTTTCCAGACAGGGTTTCTCTGTGTAGCTTTGGAGCCTATCCTGGCACTCACTCTGGAGACCAGGCTGGCCTCGAACTCACAGAGATCCGCCTGCCTCTGCCTCCCGAGTGCTGGGATTAAAGGCGTGCGCCACCAACGCCCCGCAGGACTTGCAGTTTTAAAGTTATAGGAATGAGGGATACAGCCGGGTGTTGAGGTGCACACTTTTTTTTCCCCATCTGCACTTATCCACACACAGACACACATACAGAGAATTGTATAAACGAAATCTGTGTTCTAACCTCCTGTGAACACAGACACAAAATCTCTGAAAGCATGCTGGGCTTTTCACCTGGTTTCTTCAATTAAAGCTTCAAGTGTCCCCTTCTGCCTTTTCTGATTTCTGTATGTGAAGTGTTATATTTTTAACTTTCTCCTCCAGGCTCCGACACAGGTTTTGAGATTTGAAACTCTTGATGATAATTTCATCTTCTTTTTCTTTTAAGACTTAAAAATTTCATATTATTATTATTATTATTATTATTATTTAAAAAAAAAGATTTACCGGGGCTGGAGAGATGGCTCAGAGGTTAAGAGCACTGACTGCTCTTCCAGAGGTCCTGAGTTCAATTCCCAGCAACCACATGGTGGCTCACCACCATCTATAATTCTGGTGTGCAGATATACATGGAAGCAGAATGTTGTATACATAATAAATAAATAAAATATTAAAAAAAAAAGATTTACCAATTGCCCAGTGTGGTGGCACACACCTTTAATCCCAGCACTCGGAGGCAGAGGCAGGTGGGTCTCTGTGACTTTGAGGCCAGCCTGGTCTACAGAGCGAGTTCCTAGACAGCCAAGGCTGCACAGAGAAACCCTGTCTTGAAAAAAAAACAAAAACAAAAACAAAAACTAATCCTGGAGTTGATGGCGCATGCCTTTAATCCCAGAACTCAGGAGGCAGAGGCAAGCGGATCTCTGTGAGTTCGAGGCCAGCCTGGTCTCCAGAGCGATCACCAGGACAGGCTCCAAAGCTATACAGAGAAACTCTTGTCTCGAAAAAAAAAAAAAAAAAAAAAAAAAAAAAAAAAAAAAAAAAAAAAAAAGAAAGAAAGAAAGAAAAAAAGAAAAAATTTATTTATTTTCTTTTTTTGGTTTTTTGAGACAGGGTTTCTCTGTGGCTTTGGAGTCTGTTCTGGAACTAGCTCTTGTAGACCAGGCTGCCCTTGAACTCACAGAGATCTGCCTGCCTCTGCTTCCCGAGTGCTGGGATTAAAGGCGTGCGCCACCAACACACGGCAATTTATTTACTTTATGTATGTTTGTTGCGTACATGTATATCCATGTGCATGTGAGTTCCAGGGATTGAACTCAGGTTGCCAGGTTTGCACAGCAAGTGCTTTTACCTGCTAAGTGCTAAGGCATCTCATGTGCTCTCTCTCTCTCTCTCTCTCTCTCTCTCTCTTTCTCTCTCTCTCTCTCTCTGACTCCATCTCTTGATCTCTCATTCTTTTAAAAACAGGGTCTCTCTATTGTGTAGCCCTTGCTGTCCTAGAACTTGCTATGTAGACACCAGGCTGGCCTCTAACTCACAGAGATCCACCTACCTCTGCCTCTCGAGTGCTGGAATTGAAAGTATGTGTTCTGCCAGTCGGTTCCTGTTGCTTACGAAGCATGCACATGACTGACCAAGCTGTCTTCCCTAACCTTGCAGTGCCTGCATTTTGAAAAGGGACTTGGCCTTCCCTCTTTCTACCACGTAGAGTAATTGCCCCGCTTGGTGGTTCATTTCCCCTCCATCCCAGGGCACTGTCCATTCTGCGTTCACTGGGATCCTCCCGGGCAGGCACCAAGAGCATTCCCCATATAACCCCTGATGAAAGCAGACTCCATACTGTATCCTCCTTCCTTGCCTGCCTCTTGGATTCTTTATTTACATATTTAGATTGAGTATACCATCCAGCAATTATCTCAGATAGTATTTGTTGGAAATAAATTCTCTGAACATTGGCACCACCAAAAATGGTGTTTGTTTTCCTCGGGTACTGAAGGGCTGTCAGGCCAGGCGCGGAACTTTAGCTCAGCTGATTTTCCCTATGGACGGCGAAGGTGCCCTCGCTGCCTTTGAATCTCAAGTTCCCAACATCAGATGTCAGCTCCTTCTGTTTTTCTGGAGGTAGCGGTGTTTTTCCCACGGGAACCTGCATCTCTCTTCCCTGTGTTCTGAAATGTTTTCCTAGTGTTTTCCCTCCGCCCTGGACAGTTTTATTATTTTCTTAACTGTTCCCTCTCCTTTTTTCCATTCCCTGGAATCTCATTTAAATGGTCTGTTTCCCATGTTGCTTAGCTTTTTCTTCACACGTTTTTTTTTGGGGGAGGATCCCCTCTGCCATGTGTTCTAGAAAATTCCTCAGCTTGACACCCCCCTCATTGATGACCCACAGACCAGCCCAACCTCTTCTTTGGCTTGCTAAGAACATTTTTTTATTTCAATGGGGAAATATTTTATTTCCCAAGACATCTAGCTGACTTTTGGAAAGTCTCTTTTTAAGTTTATTTTTATTTTTTCACATAAACATGATTTCGTTTTTCCCCCTGAATACATAAATAATATATTCTTGTAAATTTCTGAATAATACATAAAATCATAAAGAAGAAAGCAAAATACCACCAGAATATTCAATTCCCCAGATTATTTTATTATTTTGTCTTTTTCTTATTTTCAAATTCTTTTTGAATCCCGGGTGTGGCCTCACAAACGTTGTTCACACTCTATCATGGCATTTCATCCCAAACCCCTGGCTTGATGATTGTTCAATTTTGTATAGTCTCACCACGTAGTCCAGGCTGGCCTGGCAGTCACTGACTAGCCCAGGCTGGCCTTGAGTTCATGACACTACAGCCTCAGCCTCTCAAGTGCTGGGTTCATAGTTATGTGCCACTTTACTTGGCTGCATTTTTGTTACAATTTTTCTCTCCGAAAATATTACTAGTACTATTCTAAAATATCCTAAGGGGGCTGGAGAGATGACTCATAGGTTAAGAGCACTGGCTGCTCTTCAAGAGGTCCTGAGTTCAATTCTCAGCAGCCACATGGTGGCTCACAACCATCCGTTATGAGATCTGGTGCCCTCTTCTGGTGTGCAGGCATACACGCAGGCAGAAAGCTGTATACACAATATATATATATATATATATATATATATATATATATATATCTTAAAAAAACATCCCATTGGGTTTGGAAACTCACTCTTTCTTGTGTTAGTGCAGACTAAACCCCCATATCCAGTGGCTCCCCAAGCTTGGCTGCTCATCACAGTAGCAACAGTGTGTTCTCTCTGGCCTACCTGAAGCAAGCGCTCTGGTTGGGGGGGCTGGCATTCCAAGTAGCCAATAGGGTCTGAGAGCTGGTGGCTGCCCTGTCATCGCCCGTGTGGCATCTGGAAGTGGCTGTCTGTGCTCTACTGTGGGAAGGGTCATTGGAGAGGTTTATGTGTGCCTGTCACATTGTGTGGTGGCCACACCTATTACAACAAAACCAGAGTACCTGTGAGGAGTACACGTTTGAGTGGGGAGACAGAGTCTAATAGTCTTCCTCTGGCCTCCAGATATCTGTGAGTGCCTCAAACACGCAAAAAAAAAAAAAAAAAAAAAAAAAAAAAAGGCTATCCTGTCTTAGGGAGGTGGTTGAGCCTGCGGCTTGGCTTCCCTAAGATTACTCTGGAGTTGTGTGTGTGTGTGTGTGTGTGTGTGTGTGCTCGCGTGTGCGACACACCTGCATGCACTTGTACATGCACAGTGGTGTGGCCCCCCTGTGGAGGAAAAAGGACAACTTGTGGGAATCAGTTATCTCTCAGTGTGGGTTCAGGATCAAACTCGGGTCATCCGGCGTAGCAACAGGAATTTTTCCTGTGCCGCCATCTTGCCCAAGCAGGCCTAAGTCCTCTAACTAGACCAAGCTGTCGTCACCACTGCCCACAGAACAATAACAACCACTTCTTCCGCAGGTTTGGAGGTTTAAACAGTGGCCCCTCCAACCTGTGATTCTACAGCCCCAGTGTGTGCGTTTGCTTACACCTGGCCTCACTGTCTGCCAGGGGCAGGTGACACGCTAACTTCCTGCTCTTGCCTCCCTTCTCCCAGTTTCCCCCAGTCTGCTGTGGGGTAACAAGGAACATGTATTGTTATTTCCACCTCCTCAGTTTCCTGCCATACACAGTCCACCTCTGACCCGAAACCACACGTTTTCGGTGCCTCCTGCCCAGCGTCTACATCTGTCTTAGTCAGGACAGATATCTTAGTCAACTGTTACTACAACAGTGCTGTGTAGAGAGCCATAGAAAACGGCTCAGTTGCCAAATTCACACTCACAGGCCGAGGTGCTGAGGGCTGCTCTCTCACCCTGAGATCAGGTTTACCTGTGCGCTCCTCCATGAGACCGTCTCCTCAGAGTGGCTCCCTGGCATCCAGTAGAACAAAGCTGACCCAGCATCTCTAGTTTCATCACAATTCACACCTGGTAGCAACCCCTTGTGCCAGAGGGAGCCATGTCGTCAAATCCAGTCAGGAAGAAGGTCAAGGCTCCTTAACCCTGTAAAGAAGTAGACATAGCATCAAAACTAGACTCGGGGGCTGGAGAGATGGCTCAGAGGTCAAGAGCTCTGGCGGCTCTTCCAGAGGTCCTGAGTTCAATTCCCAGCAACCACAGGATGGCTCACAGCCATCTGTAATGAGATATGGTGCCGCCTTCTGGTGTACAGGCAGACATGCAGGCAAAACACTGTATATATAACTAAATAAATCTTAAAATAAAAAAAAAGAACTAGGCTCAGATGATATTTAACCCAAGATAAATTTAAGTTGAATTAGCTGTTAAGTTTAATTGCCCGAAGGCACAGACTCTGGGGGCAAATGGCCCAAGCAAAGGCCAAGATTCCTCTTAGAAGTATGGCTAGGGCCCTCTTTTTAGCTTCAACTGCTAAGGTCACTGGTAATTCCAAACTGGTGCTGATCCTGCCTTCCCCATGAAACTTCTTGGGTCACTCTGGTAATGGCCGCTGGGTGTAGCCAAGCAAGGGGCTTACTCCATTCCTTGCTTGGGGGAGCTGTCCTCGTGATCACACTCTTTGCAAAGGAACTTGAGAAGTGTAGTCCAGGACACACACACACACACACACACACACACACACACACACACACACACGAGACAGGACGGTGGTGAAAGGCTTCAGGCTTGCAAGGTCTGGAATGTTAGTGTGTCAGGTTGACCTGTTTGACGATTCTCTTTGGGATTCCTTTTCCAAAAATGTTTCAGATCTGTTTATTTTATGTGTATGAGTGTTTTGCCGGCATATATGTGTTTGCATCACGCACATGCAGTATGCATGCTTGGTTTCTGCAGAGCCAGAAGAGGGCCACCAGGCATTTGTGAACCATGATGTAGCTGCCGGAAATGAACCTGTGTCCTTTGCAAGTGCAAACAGTGTTCTTAACCACTGAGTCAACTCTCCAGACAGGGTTAGCGGTCCTAACTAGCGCCGCTCTTTGTGTGTAAGGTTCTGTGTGTCCATCTGCAAGTGGCCAGTCCCTAGCCAGTGCGTTAGCCTCCTGTGCTGCTGAGAGCTGTCCTCCAGTGGCGTCTGTTTAGTTTCAGCCCGCTGCTGCTGAGCACAGGCCAGGGAGAGAATGTCTCCACAGATTTCCCACCCATCACCCTGACAGCTATCCCAGGATCCCACAGCTTCCTCTGAGCAGCTCTCCTTGGGACCCTCCTATTGGCCAGCAGTTTTCCTTGGTTGTTTCAAGCCTCCCTCTTGCAGGAGCACTGCCCGCCCTGTATCCCCAGGCACCGTTCTTTTTCTCTGGTTGTAGGGGAGTTTTAATTTTTTTCTATCATTTCTAGGGATTGAGGGTGGGAAGGGAGGCTGTTAGAAGTTATCTAGATCACAATCTTGATTCAATCCCTCTTGGTCTCAAAATCCAGTTTGTGTCCAGCCTGGGATGCTTAATCCCTGGGAGCTTGGAGGCCATATTGATCAGGTCTATGGCTTGCAACATAGCCGGTGGAGTCCCAGCAACACCCTGCCCTTTAGTTAGCCACAGGCCATCTCAGGATCCCTGGACTTTTAAGAGAGGACTTTCAAAACAGAGCCATAAAGGTGGCTGAGTACTGCCTGTAGCAACAAGGAATTAGATGTTGGCTTCTGTGACAACAGCGTGGTAGACGTGGGGATTGATAGTTTTCAGGTGGAGCCCTGCGGGTCCAGGGATGTAATGCACCTCATTTACCCCGAGTTCAGCTTTGTATTGGTGGCAGCAGATTGCAGCCCCCCATATGGGAGGGCAGTTTCCCTTCCTATCTGGTTTACGATTTTGCTTTGAGCCAAGGTGTAGGAAATGAGAAAAGATTGGGAAACACTTCCAGGCCTGAGACCAGGACTAGGCAGTGGACTCCCCTGTCTATTATTCAAAGCCTTCAGGTGGATTCGGGTGGAGACATGTTGTACTTGCTTGTTGAGGGTATATATATATAATTTTTTTTCCCTGCACCTGCTGCCCCACAGAGCTTAGTGGAGAGGACACCTGAGATCCTTCCTTCGCTGTCTCTGTTTGAGGGTAAACCAGCAACGTAGGCTGTGGTCACTTTGGTCTGAGTCTCCTTCATGACTCTGTATTTCCCAGTTCAGAATGCAAATGGGTCGCTGACCCTTAAGGTGAGCATGGGGCAGTGGCCCCCAATCGTGTAGCCCTCCCGGGGCGGGCCTATGCGCCGCTGCCCCTGGGCTCTGGGAAGCCTTTGAGTCAGAACATCACATCACATCTCAGGGCACCTTCCTGAATTCCGGGGATGCTGCACCCCCTGAATTTCAAAGGGCAAGGCAAAGCGTGACTGGGGTGTAAAGGGCTGTGGCTTTGGGACTGACTGGGTCTAAGCCACCTTCCCTCTCTCCACAGGTCGGACGCTATGCCCTCACTTCCTTCCCGACTTTGGGGCATCTTCCCTGATAGTGGGAAGGGATCCTAAACTCAGAATTCCATGGCGGAGCCAGCTCCAAGCTGCAGACACACTCTGGCCCCAAACCCTGGGTCCCGCAGCTTGCGGGTTTGCAGCATCTTCTCGGGGTTGAGCCGCCCCTTGGGCCACACCTCCTAGATCATCTATTGGCCAAACTGCGCACCGCCCACGCGATGCCATTGGTTTGCACCAGCGGCCCAGACAAAGGGAGCGGCCGCTGCGGGAGGCGATTGGGCGGAGCTAGGCGGGAGCCCGGAGACGGGCGGGGACGCTGCCCTCGCGGAGGCGGGGAGGGGTCCTCCACGTGGGTGGGGCTCGGCGCCCCCCGAGGGCCGTGGCCGCGGGGCGCTGGGGCGCTGGGACCCCTCCCGCCCCCGGGCTTCTGCCTGGACCGCGGCCGCTGCCTCCTCTTCCCGGAGGTCTCAGAGTCCGTCCCGGTCTCGCAGTAGGGAACCCGGATACGCAGGAGCGAGCCTGGATGCAGAAGGGCGCGCGGGAGCCTGGAGCTGCAGCGCGAACGAACCGCAGGTCTGCGTCTAGGCAGCCCCACTCCCTCCCTCCCTCCCGATCCGGAGGAAGGACCGCGGGGAGCCCTGCGAGCGGACGGTGGCCCCAGAGCTGGCACGGGCCTTGGCTTTGGAGAAAGGATCCTGCTCCCGGAAAGGAGGGCCGAGTGTCCGCTCCGGCTCCCTGGAGACTTAGCTCGGCGGTGTGCGAGGCCGGGGAGGGCGGGACAGGCCTGGGGGCGACCAGCCGGGCGGGGAGTGGCTTCTGGGGGCTCCCTAGGCGACGGAAGGCCCGCGCGAGGCCGCCCTCGGAGCGGTGCCAGGTACGTGCGCTCCTGGTTTCCCGCGCGCCCACAGCCGTCGCTGGGGAGGGACGAATAAGAACCTAGCTGCTGGGCATGAGATTTTCGCAGCAAGCGTGGCTTTCTGAGGGGTCCCGGGACGGCTGCCGGACTCGGGGAGCCCCTGCGCGGTGCTCTGGAACCCCTCGCCGCGGGGCGCGCCCGCAGACCTCCCCGGCTCTCCGGACTCCGTGGGTACCACAGCCGGATGGCTCTGATTCGTAGTCGTTCATACGGCCACCCCCACCCGGAAACCTGGGATTCCTGCTTTCGGATCCGGGGTGTTTACTTTGGAGATGTAGGGACCTCAGTTGGAGGGAACTCGCGTTAGGGAGACCCGGCCTTGGCTGCTGCTGCTGGGCGGGGGGCCAGGAAGGAACCCCTCCTGGCCCCGGGAACTTCACATTTACGCGGTTAGGTGACACCGGCGGCGGACTTTTTTTTTTTTTTTTTTTTTCGGGTCAGAAGAGCCTGGTAGCGGCCCCATCCCCTCCCCCATCCCCACTTCAAACAAAAGAGCTCCTGGGAGAATAGTTTTTAGGGGGAGAGCGCTTCTGAATGTGGATGCGCAGTTCTCCCCGCCCCGTCCCCAGGAAGGACAAGGGTTTTTGTTTGTGTGTTTAAAACAAAGGGGAAAGCTTGGCGCGAGTTGCAAGGGAAGGGGCGCTTTTATTTTGGAGTTCCTGAAGAATTCACCTTCCTTTCTCCCCCAAATTAGCCGCAGCTGAGTCAGAAGTGTCCCGCTGCCTTACCTGATAATGGGATTTTACACGGTCTGCAAAGGGTGGCTTCGTGAGAAGACCGTTTCAGAAGAGGAAATGGGCCTCTGGCCGACGGTGGGGTTTTAGAAACCCCTGTGGAGTGAAAAAGTACTCCCGGCCGCTTTGCGCAAGATTGCAGAGTAAGGTGGGTTTTTGTTTTTGTGTTGTGTTTTTGTTTTGTTTTTTTGTTCCATCCCCCTCCTCCCTGTAAATGCGAACAAAAGGCCCCCAAGCGTGCAGGACGGGGTGGACGTTTGGAAGCCGCAAGTGGAGTGAATGTCGTTGTAAAAGCTCCGGGCCCCAGGCATAGCTAGTGTCTGCGCGTCGCAGTTTGGGAGAGGAAGGATGTGACGCCCTGCGCGCAGGCGGGTTGGCCCGGCCCCGGCAAGGGCTCCTCTCTCCCGGACGAAGCGAGCGAGCCCTGGCTGTGGCCTCCTCCCGGCGTCCGCGGCGCTCGGCGGGAAGGTCCCGCTTCCACCAAAGCGCCGGACCCCGTGGCTCTCAAAGTAAAACCCAACAAGCCGTAAGCCCCCCGACGCCCGTGGAGAGGGCGCCGCGGATTTATGGCCTCCGAATTCCCCACTCTCTAATTATCCCTGTTTTTAGTTGACTTATGGGTAGTGACCAATAAAATCATTTTCCATTTCGGATTTTTTTCTCTCTCTCTCCAACATGAAAAATTGACGTTTCTACCTTCCCTCAGCGTCTCGTGCAGATCTTTTTTATTTTTTTTTCCCCGGGCGGGGGTGAGGGAGGAATCAAAAAAAAAAGATCCTCCTGGTGCCGCCTCTACTAAGGGTTGACGCCCCCCCCCCACTCCCGGATTAATTGCAATTTAGGGGAAAGCTGCCCCCAACCCCTTCTCGCGCCACTATCGGGCATTTGCCAGGATCCTTCCCTAGAAACCCCGGCTCTGCACCCCTTCCGAGGACTGCAACGCCCACCCGGGCCCTGCGGCGAGCCTCCCACCGTCTCGGCTCCTGTCCGGTCACCCTTGCTCCCTCCGCCTCCCGGGACGCCCCCGAAGCACGAGCCCTGGGCTCTGGGGTTCCAGCCTGATGGGGGTCCCCCAGTCGCCGTGCCTGCCTTCCCATCCCCCATCCTCGTCCCTTTGTTCGCCTCTCCGGACACTGAGTTGAAGGTGGCAGGAAAAAAAAATAATTAGATGGAAATCAAAGATTAGACGGGGTACGCTGGCCGCCCGGGCGAAGCCGGCCCAACGCTCCGCCGGCGCCTCATAAATCTTTTTCTCAGGCCTGACAAAAGCCACATCCGTCGGTTCCCTGGGAATCCAGAAACTTATCGATCTCCTCGACGTCCCCCAAACATCCGTCTTTGAGATCCAGGGCGGAGAGTCCTTGGTGACCCTCCACTTTTGGCCAGCCCAGGACGCCCCAGCCCAAGCCCGGAGTTAATTAATTTTCAGAAATGGAAGGTGTCAGAGGGAGACGGGGAGGCCTGGGCCCAGCCCCTCCCTGGGAGGGCAGCAGATACCCCACCCGGTTTGTAACGCCAAGGACATTTTTGGGTGCTACGTTTGCCTTGCTCCAGCTGCCTGGAAGAGCGTATTCTGAGCAGCGGGGTGAGGGGCGGCTTCACCCCTCCTTGGCTCCTCCTTTGTCTGGCTCAACCGTTCCTGGAGCCAGCGGGGCGCACGCGGCCGGAGCTGGGGCGCAGGCGGAAGCCGGGCTCCGAGGCGCCGGTCCCGCAGGTGTGTGCGGGCCACGTGCGATGCACCCGGGATTGCACCCCAGAGCCCTCCGCCGCAGCAGAGGGGAACTTAAGGAGTCTGTGCGTCTGGAGTTTTTAAAACTTGAGAAAATTGGGGAAGTAGGGTTCCTCCCAACGCGAACGGAGGTGTCTTAAAAATTATATCCCATTGTTGAACCAGTTGTTTCGGACCCTAGGTATTAAAGAAATGTTGCCACATTTAATTTTGGTCGCCGTGAGATAAGAGGGGGAGCCCAACATTTCGAAGTAATTTGAGAAGCCTTCAAGTACCAAATCCGAAAGGGAGGCTGGCGGCCCAGGTGTAGTTTCTTTATAACCTGAATTTACAATGAAAGCATTCTCCTTTATGGATATAATAGATTAGATTTCACAACTTAATTCTCTGCAATGGCTCCGTTTAAGGGAGCTCCGGCTGATTTTATTACGCTGAGCCAAATTGGATGTTTGTGGTCTTAACGAAAAGTGATTGTGACATAAAATATATAATTTTAAAGTAAAAAACCAACGGGTTCGACCCTATCCCCTGCCCCCTCCGCCTTCCTCCTAACCCCTGCTCCCTTTTCCCCAGTTTGGGAAATTGGTGCTAGTTGGTTTCTGCCTGAGAGATAGGCGACCCCGGGGGTGCCTGGGCGGCCTGCAGGGCCAGGCACACGCATTGTAGTTGGCCGCACAGGCCAGACCCTTCCCTCTGGTAGTCGAGAATATGGACACACGCACAGGCCCGGGATCCTCCGCGTGCTCGGGGCCTGAAGCCTCTGGCCACCTTGGCGAGCGACTTCCCGGCTTCCCCTGGCTGGCGCGCAGCGCCGGGGAAGCGCGCTCTTAGCCGCAGCGCGCTCACTGTTTTTGGGAACCTCCTGCCGCGTGCTGCGCGGTGTGCAGCGTCTGTCCTCCACGCCCAAGGCCACCACCAAGGCTCTGCAGGCGCCTGTGCCCAGAGCTGGCGCCAGCCGCTCCGTGTGCCCCACCTGAGCAAGTGTGGTCGGTGGGGACAGGGCGGCTGCTCGAGGAGCTCTCCAGCCCGCCCCTCTGTGCGCCCGCCCGGATCCGGCCCTGCAAGCCGCAGCAGACAAGGACAAGGGTCTTTGGGCTCCAGCCGACCTGGCCTGCCAGCGCCCGCGGCCCACTCTGCCGTCACTTCTGATTAAGGTCGGGCAGTGCTCCGCTGACAGAGACCCTCGTTTCAGAGTGCTTTGTTGGAGACTGATTCAGCCCCCCAGAAGCTCGGGGCAGCGAGCAGCCTGAGTGAGGTCCGCTCACGGCCCCAGGCGACTGTGGGCCGGCCCCAGACTCCCTGCTGAGACGTCTGGAGCTAGGTCTGGTGTGCCCGACTCTCGGTGGATGCAGAGACATCCTGGGTGCCCCCGGGTTCCCACAGGCTTCGACCCCCACGCTCGAAGGACGCGTGCGTGCTGGTGCTTGGCCCGCAGGCCGCGGGGGCGCACCTTAAATTAAATCTTTGCAGCGCCTGACCTTGTTTTTTCCTGGGGCGATAACGGCAGCAGCTGTTTTTTCCAGAATTCCTGCTGCTGGGGGAGGGGCGTTATTATTATTATTTGGGGTTGTCACTGCCTCCTGGAAATCTTCCATGGTTTTGCAAAGTGCAACAATAGCCCTGCAGATTTCTAGAGGAAGCCCCCTCCCCTGCGTACTCCAGGGACCAAGATATCCTCCGACTGAAGCCGGTGCCACTCCTACTAGGACCAGTGTGCTTCTTGGCCTTCAGGGCCCTAAGTCCACCTTGTCCCACTTCTGGCTGCTGGCCTCTGGCCACTCTTGGACAAAGCTCTCAACGGAGAAAATGGGGTAAAGTTAGCTGTGCCTCCCCAGCGCCTGTGTGTGTGGGGGGGTATCACATCCTCCGTCTGCTCCACGTGGTCCTCCCTCCAGCCCTCCTCTTTCCAGCCCTCGTCCCAAGGGAGGTGCCTGGAACTGGGAAGAGCCGGCCCTGTTTGTTTCAGGGGTCAGGGTTAGCCCTGAAGCGGTTAAAGATTAAGAGGCCTGGGGGAGGGGAAGAGGGCCTTCCAGGGACTCTGGCTCAGTTTTGTCCCTCCTGAGGCCCCTCCCTCAGAAACCTGGCCTCTGCCTACGGTCTCCCAGTTCACCAGCGTCATGCTGCCCCTACCCGCGTCTGGAGAGCTGTGCAGTGTGGGTCCAAGAGGACATTGCCGGTCCCTTATCTGTTGAGGGGAGCTGGCTGCCCTGGTTATTAGCCACAGTCAGTAACCTCAGCCTCTGGCTCAGTGTACCCCTGGTAACTCCAGCGTGCCCATAATGTGGAAAGAGGCCTTGGCCCTCCTGGCTACTCCTTCAGTGACAAGGAGCCCAGGAGAGTGTCGGGGGCCCATGAGTGCCAGGCTGGTTGGCTGGCCTTCTGGATAGGGAGTGCCTGAGCTGAGTTGGGGAGCAGCCATCACAACCAAGCCGGGGTCTAATCCCCCCTTCTAACCTGCACAAGTCCTGTGTGGTCAGGAAGGGGAGGCCCTCCTCCCCTAGAGGCAGAGGCTCTTTGTGTCCCAAGTCTCCAAATCCTTTCACCTGACTCCTCTGCTGTATGCCCTTGCCTCCAGAACTACCCTACAGCAGGCACCTGGTCCCTCCTGCAATCTTATTTACAATTCATGTCACCAGGTTTGTGGCAGGACAGGGGAGTCAGTTTTCACTAGAGATGGTGGTGACGATGGCTCCGGCAGGCACTATACTTCATTAATGGTTGTGTGGTAACAAAAAGATAAAATGGCCCCAATTTGCAATTTACAAACAGTTCCATCTCTGAGTACAAGGGGGGCCTTTGGAGCTTGGTGATGTCCACCAGAGGTGACGTGTCCAGAGCAGCAGGACGTGCTGGAGATGCTGGGGCATCCCTGCCCTGAGGCAGCTCTGGAGAGGACTGCTATGAACTGCCTTTGAAAAAGCCGAGAAGGGCCATTCATCCTCTGGGTTGTTCGGCAGGCCTGGGGTAGCATTCCTGAGCCCACATCCGGAGGGCAGCTGGGGAAGGCAGTGCCCAACAGATACTCAGGCCTTGGGATAGGTGGTTTGCCTTTCTCCATTCCACAGGCTGCTGGGCAGGTTCCTCAGGGGACAGAAGTAGCTGGAAAGCTCTCCCTCTCTCCCGTCATCAGGACCCCTCTTGGGTCTGAGAGGACCAGGAGGAGGGGGAGGGGCGGCCATCAGTGCCCTTTTCTGAGATTCCTTCTTGTGCAGTTCCTGATTCCTGATTCCTCTCGTCCCTGTGTCTCCTTCAGGGACTTTTGTCTGGCCAGGCTGCCACATGCATTTCTGGGGCTTAAGAGCCCCCATGGCCTCTGCAGGTGTCTCCTTCACACTCTGGACTACTTACTCCCTGGATCCTGTTGAGAAGGGAGCATTGACCTCTGACCCCACCCCGACCACACACAGACCTCGATAACCCTTGATGGTGGCAACAACATTTAAACTCTAGCCACAGAGCCTAAGCAAACTGTCCCCCAGCAGGTCAGAGAGGTGGGAGCCACCAGGAGAGCCTAAGCCAACACTGGAGTTGCTTGGTCTGCACAAAAGAACCGGAGGAAAGTGGGCTGGAGCTGCAGCTCAGAGCTGAGCGCTTGCTTAGCTGGGCAGGACCTGGGTGGGATTCTACTCCCAGCACCAAAAAAGGAAGAGAAAAAAAAAAAGAATAAAATGTATAAAGGGAGGCCGGGCGTTGGTGGCGCACGCCTTTAATCCCAGCACTCAGGAGGCAGAGGCAGGCAGATCTCTGTGAGTTCGAGACCAGCCTGGTCTACAAGAGCTAGTTCCAGGACAGCCTCCAAAGCCACAGATAAACCTTGTCTCAAAAAACCAAAAAAAAAAAAAAAAAAAAAAAAAAATGTATAAAGGGCCAGACCTATGGATTGTTAGGTGGGCCATTCTTAAGTGCCTAAAGTACCCTGGCCAT